GTAAAATATGGCAAACAGCTGCATTTCAATTGAAAGCTAAAACAACTGTAGGACATTAACCCATTGAGAAGATTACAGTAGGTTTTCAGTTCCATGTTAACTGTATTTATTAGAGAAAATTGACTTGAGTGCTTCTGCTTTTAACCGACTTTTTTTTTTTTTTTTTTTTTAATGTCTGGGAGAAAGGAAATAAAGCACTGGAGTGATAGAACTTTGATGTGTAAAGAAGTTAATGTCGAAAGAAGTTAATTATCTAAATTATCAAACAAAATGGGTACAGGAAATAATTATTTTAAAGATTCTAATGAGCTATCAACTCATCATGTCAAGAAAAATGTTATTCACCTGTTTGATTTAAAAATTAAATAACTTGACTGTGAAGGGATGATCATGGTTATAATAAACTAGGATTGGGACCTTTTACCTCTTACCAATAAATACTCTTGATGCGAAACATTTGCAGTTGGAGGACAACTGAAGAAAGCTGTGGTTTTCATATGAATTTACTTGTGAATTGTCTCCTCTTTAGAGAGTGTTAGAGCAGTGTGACTGGGTTTGCAAAATGAAAAAGGGACAGATTGCTTCAACAATGTCTCAGGACATTTGGCCGCAGGATAATCCCGCAGAATCGCATGTCTTCAAATCTGACAGGAGTGAACTAAATCATAACTGTTTTTGGAAGCTGGGGTTAATACAAAATCTTAGGGTTTAACATTTTCTTCAGGATATCATATCTCTCTGTCAATCTTCTGTTGGAACACTAAGGGAAACATTTTTTAAGGTCCTTGAGAGAGTCAAGTTTCTTTTTTAGTGCTTCGTCCTGATTCTGGAAGTTCTTGGTTTCCTGTCTATATTCCCCCAATCTTGGATTGGTGATGTGGTATTTTTTTAAACTGAATTTCAAGTGGGGATCCTACTTTTCTATATGTTTTTTGTAGAAAATACTTATTCCAAAAGGCTTTTTGAAAAAAAATTAACGCTTAAATAAATTTGTTTTTTTTGACAGACCGTGATGGTCTGTCATAGCATTAGCTTCTTTATGAGTTTTAGAATTTTGGTTTTCAGGCTCAGTTTGAGTAAAACTTCTTTCCCTCTTTTTCTCTTCTCTTGCATTCTCTATGTGGTGGTTTTGGCCTCACCCTTAGGGCCTTCAGTAGCCCCGGTCTTACGCTGGCAGGTGACTAAACTGGTCCTGCCACAGAAGGATATTGAGATACTTCCCATCTAGCTACCAAGCTGGTGTGCTTTTGTCTTAGATCTCTGTCCTGTTGCCTTCTCAAAAGTTTTAATTTGGCCTATCTAGGTGGTGGTTTGAGGTAGGGTGTTTTGTTTTTTGTTTTTTGTTGTTTTTTTTTCAGCAGCCTTGCTTGGGGCCCTGCCCTTCCATCCCAGCTCTGGTGAATGATCCTTATTCAGGTTTCCTTTGTCATTTTTAGCCAGCATGGCCCATAGAGTGGTCAGATTAGAGGGTGTATTACAAGAGAGATTTGGCAGCAATGTGGAGAATGAACCGAGATGGAGAGAACGAAGCTATAAATAGAGCTCATAGAGACCCATAGGGTAGCAAAAGGGAGAAGATGGGAAAGATGTAAGAACATAAACAAAGTAGAATTCATTTGGCTTTCCATAGGTTATAGGGTGCTGAAGACGGAGTCAAGATAATGACTGAGATTTTTGAGACGGGGGGACCAGTAACAGTAGTGATATCAGTAGTGAAAACAGAATTTATTTTATAAGGAAACTATTATACTTAATATTTGCTGAATTGCATCAAAGTTTTTTAGTGAAAATATTCAAATTTCTTAAATTTTTGTGATTTTGAAATGAGGGTAATCTAAATTTGTCATATAAAAACTTTTGGCAAATCAAGAAAGATAATACTTTAAGAGCTTTCTGTTTATAATAATAGTTAACATTGTGTGCTTAGAACTGTTCTGTACATATTAGTTCATTTAATCCTGACAACAACCCTGAGAGAGTGAAATCACCATTCCCATTTTACAGATGAGGAAGATGAAGCACAGAGAAATTAAGCAATTGGCCCAAAGTAGCTAGTATAGTAGCTGAGCTGGGATTCAAGTCTAGGCAGTCTGTCTCCGGACTCTTCCTACTTTACTTTCTTAAAGTTGTTAGTACTGCTTTATTTTATTATTTGTTCTAAATTTAATTCTTTTTTTAGAATCCGCAAAGTATTTTTAGTTTAGAGTTATAATATTGCAAGGTTTACATGACCATGAATTAATAGCTAACATTTACTGAGCACTTAACTGTGTAATAATTGTGGTTTTTATCTACTTTCATTATTGTAATGTTATTTTTACAAATTCTTGTTTATGGGACTGCCACATGCATTAAATAAAATGGGATAGATTAAGATTGGCATTTGATTCTCCCATTATGCCTCAGCTTAATTTTACTGGGAAAAATGTCACACAGTTTAGAAGATGGGGGCGTAGGTAGACACACTTCACCTCCTCGTACAACCACAAAAAGAATAAAAGAATTACAGCTAAATCTCAAAACAAATAACACCCAGAACTATTAAAAAATCGAACTGTATGGAAGTCTGACAAACAAGGATTTAAAGAAGCCACAGTCATACAGATGGAGTGGAGACACAGTGTGGTGTGGAGAGGTGGTGGCAGAGGCAAAACATGCACAGGTGGTCTCACATTCATGTGTGGTGGATAAAAATCGGGAGGGATATCTTGGGAGCAAGTGATCCCAGTCCCAGGCCAGACCCCACAGCCCAGGGTTCCAGTGTTGGGAAGGTAAAAACCAATGGGAGTTGGCAGCAGAAGACACTGCTGGATTTTCAGGAAACTTCACTTACAGGGCCCATACAGTCTTAAAATGTATGTAGACCCATGCACTCTGGGATTCAACACCAGGGAAACAGCTGGTAGGGTGTCAATAACATACTGGGAGAGGGGGAAGTGCCTGGATATGGGGCTAGTGCTGGGCAAATCCCAGAAAACAGGCAGCGGCACAGTCCCCTCTCTGAGCCCTCCCCATACCTGGGGCCACAAAGCAGCGAAGTGTGTTGCCCCACCTTGGTGATTACCTAAGGCTCTGCTCCGCACAGTTTACAGGTGCCATTTACAGGGAGTGAGAACAGCTCTACCAATACACAGAAACAAACACAGGGAGGCTGCCAGATTGAGGAGGCAAATAAATATGACCCAAACTAAAGAACGGAACAAAACCACAGAAAAAGAGCTAAATGAAACATAGACAGCCAACCTGTCAAATGCCGAGTTCAAAACACTAGTGATCAGGATGCTCAAAGAACTCATTGAGCACAGCAACAATATAAAGGAAGAAATGAAGACTATACTGAGTGAAATAAAAATCTACAGGGAACCAACAGTGAAGAGAAGGAAGCCAGAGCTCAAGTCAACGATTTGGAACATAAGGAAGAAATAAACATTCGACCAGAATAGAAAAACAAGAATTCAAAAAAATGAGGGTAGTATAAGACTCTGGGGTATCTCCAAATGTGCCAACATCCTAATCATAGGGATGCCAGAAGGAGACGAGGAAAGCAAGAAATTGAAAACTTTTTTGAAAAAACAGTGAAAGAAATCTTCCCTAATTTGGTGAAGGAAATAGACGTACAAATCCAGGAAGCGCAGAGAGTCCCAAACAAGGTGGACCCAAAGAGGGCCACACCAAGAGACATCATTAATTAAAATGCCAAAAGTAAAAGATAAAGAGAGAATCTTAAAAGCAGCAAGAGAATAGCAGAGAGTTACCTACAAAGGAATATTCATAAGACTATCAGCTAATTTCTCAAAGGAAACTTTGCAGGCAAGACGGGACTGACAAGAAGAATTCAGAGTGATGAAAAGCAAGCAGCTACAACCAAGGTTATTCTAACCATCGCATTTATTTAGAATGGAAGGGCAGATAAAGTGCTTCCCAGATAATGTAAAATTAAAGGAGTTCATCATCACCAAATCATTATTACATGAAATGTTAAATGGACTTATTTAAGAAAAAGAAGAGAGAAACTATGAGCATTAAAAAGGCAACAAATTCAGACCTCTCAACAACTAAATCTAAAAAAAACCAAACAAAACCCAAAACAAACTAAACAACCAGAACAGGAACAGAATCAGAGGTATGAAGATCATTTGGAGGGTTATCAGCTGGGGGGGGGGGGGGAAGGGGAAGAATGGGGGGAAAAGATGCAGGGATTAAAAAGCATATTTGGTAGGTACAAAATAGACAGGGAGAGGTTAAGAATAGTATAGGAAATGGAGAAGTCAAAGAACTTATATGCACGACCCATGGGCGTGAACTAAGACAGAGAGTTGCTGGAGGGAAAGGGTGTGCTGGGCAGAGGGTGACAAAGAGGGGAAAAGTTGGGACGACTGTAATAACAATCAGTAAAATATATTGAAAAAAAGAAAAAAGTCACAATTTAAAACTAATTATATTACCATAAGATTATAAAGTATAACAGTGCTTACTTCTGATCTACTGATTGACTGTGTACTATTTGTATTTTAGGCTTTGGTTCCTTTAGGAATTGGATTGTGCTGTGGTTTTCTAATTTTGTATTTTAGGATTATGCAACTCTTTCTTTAAATGAATCTCACTATGTATAAAATCAGAGTTCTGGTGTTCTGGATGGAATTGACTATGTATATACTTATAAGCTTGGGGGCCACTAGGAGCTAATCTTTGGGCTCCTTGGAACACATTTTGAAAACCACTGAACTCTATTAGAATATTTTATGAATATTTTTCTTCCATTACTTCAAAATGTGTATCAGAATGTTTTATCACTGAAGTGTGTAATTTTTTGATATCATGTGACTAAGGTTTTTCCCCCTTTAATATTTCATTTTAATAAAGAACATTAAGTATAAACAAATTAGATTTAAATATAGTTAGAAATTTAAAATTTTCCTTTTTGAAGTAATTTATTATTTTATTTTCTTGCATTTATTTTTATTTAAGTACATTTTTTGTTATTTTTCTTTTCTATTTAGATGAATAATACTGCAGCCAGCCCAATGTCCACTTCAAGTAGTGGAAGAAGTACAGGGAAGTCTACAAGCTTTGCCTCAGAATTGCAGAGCATGATGTAAGTATGTCTCTGCATCTTTCTTAATACGTTCAGTTTATTCATGTTGATAAAGACAATAGAAATAACAAATTTAATAGACAATAAAAATTTATAAAACTTAACTGGGAAACTTGTACTTAAATAAAAATGAAATTGATAACAGCAGACAAGGGACAACATTAGTTAAAAATGCTACAGTGGGACTGTATTACAAAAGTGAGTATTGGTTTATCTTTATAAAAGAATGAATAATTACGTAAATGTTTTTGCCCTAGATATTATCTGTGTTATGAACTGTTTATTACTATTTTGGATTTAGATTTAGAAAATTTTGTTGTAGATTACATTCTGAGATAGTTGAAATGTTTTCACAGAGTTCTTTTTCTCAAATGTCACAGAAATTCGGTTAGCCTAATGTGAGTTAGTTTTTAGTTTTGGTAATATTTGAAATCACTGTATTTTAGAACATTGAGAAATAACTTAAAACATTTAAAAACACATTTATTCAGTTCTTGAAAAGTTGCACAGTCATTAAGATTTTTTTTTAAGGCCCTTTTCAGCTTGATTTCTGGCTTCTTGTGTTGACTGTATAACCTTGATTTAATGGGAGATAGCATATTTATTAGAAATGTCTGCTGGCACATACTAGTTTTTCTTTATTATTGATTCAGGAGATAATTATGTACATAAAGGGACAACACACTAGAGCTCTTCTTTTCCTATTCCTGACATATCTGGCGATTTAAAAGAATTTCTTTTGAAGGTCTAAGTGTCTTCCTTTTGTTGGTGTGTATTGATAGTCTTCAGAGTGGATTGATTCCACTGTGTGATATTTATTGTTCTAAGAAAATAATGTGTTTGAGTATATATCTAATATTTGCTTGGTGAACATACTTTAAACAACATTGAGGACATTTAGATCATAGGTTCTCAAATTTTTTGGTCTCAGGCTCCCTTTACACTCTTAATTATTGAAAACTGAACAGTGTTTGTTTATGTGGATTGTTATCTATGAATAGATATTGCCTAGAGTTGAAAACTGGGGAAAAAAATTATTTAATTTGTTTGAAAAGTAAATGTATTATATGTTAACATAATATATGCCCTATAAAGTAATTTTATTCTAAAACAAAAATTGGAAACACATTTTGTTAGATAAGAATAAAATAAATGCATTAATTTAGGAATTGTATGTGGTGAGACTGTGTTTTAAATTGTGGAAAAATTTTAAGGGTTTATGCTTGTGTATACTTTTAGTATATACAGTTTATTTAAGTTTTTAAGTTTTTTATTATAGTTTAGTAGCTTTATGTTGGGAATCTTTTCTATTGTATTGTGTTAATTATGTTTAAAAACATTATATGTGTTTTAGAAGGTTTATAGTAAAGTGAGGAAATTCATTTTCCTGTGGAGTCAGTTTACTGATTTACTTTGTGTTTTGAAACATATTACATATAATATATATTATAGAGAACAGTTTAATGAACCTAATGCATCTATTATCTGGCTTTAATAATGACTGTTTTGCCAGTCTTAGTTAACCTTTACGCCCCGCTCTCCACTTTTTCTTAGTTCAGTCTTTTGATGCAAATCCCAGACATATTTTAAATTTGGTTGTATTTATTAAAACAGTATATTTGTTGTTAGGTAAAAAGTATGCTCTACAACAGCAGTCAGCAAAATATGGCCGTGGGCCCATAGACTGGCTGCCTGTTTCTGAAAATAAGGTTTTATTCATTTATCAATTATCTATCTCTGCTTTTATGCTACATGTTGGAGTTGAGTATTTGTGACAGAAATCACATGGGCTGTAAAGCTGGAAGTGTTTACTGTATAGCCCGTTACAGAAAAAGTTTGATGCCTCCTGATCTCTAGAAATAGGTCTCTATAAGAAGAAAGCTGTTTTCTTTTGTCATTTATACTTAGGAGAGGTTCTACTTAGTGCATTTGATAGACTGCCACTTGAGAAAACTGAGAAAAAAAATAAAATAAAATCTAAATTCAGCACTTCTTATTAAATGCTTTTGCAAACATCTTCCCAACTAATGTGCTTAAGCTGGATTCAGAATGAAAAAGTTATTGTTGGCTACAGTTTTGGAAGAAATATACATTTTCCTTCTATTTCAGACCTCATAGAGAGGCCACTCCTCATAGTTACATTCATCATTTATAGTCCGAAGTTATTTTTTTCCCTTTATGAATTGCTTCACGGAGGAAAAAAGTAGGGCCAAAATGGGAGGAATACTTTTTAGTTTACCAATATCTTATATTGTATAAGGGTTTCAGGCTTTTTTTATATAAAATTAGAATCAATAGACATTTGATCCTTGCTAATTGTGATTTCAAATGAGAAAGTGTAGGTTTTAAGTCCCTGTGTTATTCTGTGTAGAAATTTCCTTCTGTGAATCCCTTCCTTCCCGCCCCCCCCCCCCCTGCAGTTTCACAGTTCTAAGACTGTATGGTATTGCTGTCCTTTTAATCCTCTACTGCTGCTGTCTTTCCTGCTTTTCTCTTTTCTATTTTCACTCTAAACAAGTAACAACATTGTAGTGTCATTTTCAGGGAATAGTTCAAGTATCTAGTTGTCAAGCACAAATGAAATTGTCATGATTGGCTATTAAATGTAAAACTGGCAGCCGATCTGTTCTGCTAGTAGAGCCTTGATAGAATTGACTATATTTTAAGTTTGAGTGGTAAATACTGCCAGTGAAGCATTCTTTAGGAAGTGCTTCTACAGATTTTAAATGAAAGGATTAGCAGTCCAACAAATGCTAGTGGGTTGGGGATGACAGCAGCTTTCCCTTACATAGTGCTTACAACTGAGCACATTGGCCACATGCTACTTATCACAGCTCGTTGAATAATGTGTGCTGGAAGGGTCCTGAGGCTTTTCATTTTTAAGTTACTGAACTCAGGTGGCCTGTAAATGAGAAAGTGAAATCTTTTCAATTCACAGTGCAGGTATTTTAACAAACTTCTTGAGGATTTTTATTAATTTAAATGCACTTCAAGAAGTTTTCATTGGACTCTCTCTTTCTTATTTATATATTTCTTGATTTGTATTACTCTTTCTCATGTTTATAGACCTGGTGATGATGCCAGAGTTTCACTGCTTGGTAACATTTAGTGATTCTCATGTGATGAAATTAAAAAAAAAAAAAAGATTTTATTTATATGTTACCTATATTTTGTAAGAATTCTTCCACAGATTGAAAAATAACTTTTTAAAATTAGAGTTTCCTTTGTATATAATAAAATTTAATTTTACAGTTCTAGTTCTGTAAGTTTTGCATTTTTAAAAATCAACATTTATTGAACCCATACATGACAGGACCTAAATGCCTTTAAGTCTAACAGTAGAGAAGGTTGTGGAGACAAATAATTGTTTTGTAGTAGGATGTGATGAATTCCATAGTAGTAAGAAGGAGTAAGTGATGAACTTCTGAGGGTAAGCTTCCTAACCTCAGGTCTATACTTCTGATTGCTTCCTGGAATGTCCACGAAGTATTCTATGAGCATCTCAAATTTAGTATGTTCAAAACTGAACAAGTAATTTTCTCAATAAGATTGGTCCTTCTCTTGGGAATTTTTGGCATAAATAGCAACAAACATTTATTGTGCCCTCGACTAGGGCATAGTTGTATATGTAAAATGGTATCATTTGGCTTTTAGCACTTTGAAGTTATGAGTTGTGTAAGAATATGCTACCATTTCTATCCTTACCTCAATCTGACTTTAAAGAGACCTAATATGTCTCTCTAAAGTCAATGTATATGTGAAATTCTTTTAAATATATGAGTTAGTAATAAATGGTTATTAAACTGACACAAGATTTCTTCAAGTATTGAGTTTCCACAGTACATTTAAGTTTTTCAGAAAACTGGAGGAAAGAAAAATTCTTAAAGATACTAAATGCTAACATTAATTTGTTATAATTTCAGAGATGCTTTAATAATATCGTTGATAATAGTGAATGCTTGTAGAGAGCATAATGTGTACCAGGCACTCTCTTGAACAGTTCCATATACCATTTTTAATCCTCACACAACCTTATGAGGTAGATGTGGTTATTCCCCTTTAATGGATGAGAAAATTGAGATATAAAGGTTAGTAACGCACCAGAAATTGCCATTGTAGTAATTGGCAAAACCTGGACTTAATCCAGGACGTCTGACTCCAGAGTCCATGCTTTTGACAAATTATGCTGTATTACATTTCAATCAATAAAACTTTTACTTTGATTTATAAAATTTAGTGAACAGAACAACTTTTACCAGTTTATGTGTGACTGGTCTATAAAGTAATAATATGAAAGGTAAATAATTGTTCAGTTAATTACTGCGATTAGTAATGTGGTCTAATTTTTACAAGAAGTATTGGATTAAGTTTTTTTTTCCTCCTAAATTGGTTGAGATTTGTTTTGTGTCCTAACATGTGGCTTATCCTATAAAAAGTTCCATGTGCACTTGAAAAGATTGTATATTCTGCTGCTTTGAGGTACAATGCTCTGAAGATACCAATTAAATAAATTTGATCTAGTGTGTCATTTGAGGCTGCTGGTTTCTTGTTGATTTTCTGTCCGAAAGATCTATCCATTGAAGTCAAAGAGGTGTTGAAATTCCCTATTATAACTGTATTTCTGTCAGTCTCTCCCCTTCTGTCCATCAACATTTACTTTACACATTTAGGTGCTCCTATGTTGGGTGCGTAAATGTTTGCTAAGGTTATATCCTCTTGTTGGATCATTCCCTTTATCATTATGTAGTGTCCGTCTGTGTCTCTTACTATAGGCTTGGTTTGGATTAAGTTGTTATTTTCATATTATCATAGTGTTTATTTCAATTTCCTAAATCTAATCACCAAATCTTTTTAAGTGGGGCCATATCAGTAATGAAGACAAAGTATTTTTCATAGAAATTATGTACTCCATATACTCTGTATTGGTTGCCCCTATTTGTAATATTTCATAATTTTGGATATAAACATCATACTGTTGTTGAATATTTAAATGTTTATCT